GCAGTCTATATACAGTATAGTAGCCATAATTTCTTTCTGATTATATTTCATATTTCCCAGTCCAACAATTGGTAAAGTTTCGCTCCTTGTTTCATTTGAAATACTAAATCTGATACAGAATAAATAAGAAATCTATCTAAAGACTGCTGCAGAAATCTTTGTGGAAATGTTTGGTAATATTCAGGAGACATTTCAAGAAGAAGAAAAGATTTGAAGAAGAAATGTAAATGCAAAACCCTCCACCAAAGAATATTAAAATCATCAACAATATGAAAGTCATTATAATGGTAAACTATTTTTTAAATGAAAAATTCATCTAATAAATAGTTCTGAAAAACAAGTTATCTTGGCAATAAAGAATGGGAAGGTTGCATTGAATACAACATTTGTGAAAAGAGGGGCAAAATCCCCACCAAGAACTAACTTTTTAAAGAGAATGGTAATAAGGAAGCATTGACAGTTTTAAGGAAAATAATTCAAGACATGTTCTGCTCTGCCTCTACTACATGGCAATTAAACTAGCAGAGAAGGAAAGCAATTTTCTTTGATTTGCAGGAGGTAAGCTCACTGGTGAACCTGATTAAAGGAAGCTGAAGAAACACTTGGCCAGCTGAAAAGCCATGGCAATGCAATGCAAATTCCCCTGTCAATTTTTCTAAAAAAGATGAACTTGAAGTTGGACCTGTAACACCTGTATGGGTAGCCCTTGAATTTTTAAAATAAATAATAATAATTACAAATATTTGTTTTAATGCTGAAATAGTACGTAACAGTTTTAATGATGACATGGCAGTGGTGGTTTTATCCGGGGTGACAATGAAGAAGCTTATAGGGAAGAGGTAAAGGCTCTGGTGGACTGGTGCAATAAAAGTAGCCTGGTTCTAAATGTTAATAAAACAAAAGAGATCAGTGTAGATTTTAGAAAGAACCGGCATATTCATACCCCACTCAGTATCAAGGATGCAGCTGTAGAGGTGGTTGACAGTATTAAGTAACTGGGAGTGCAGATAACTAACAATCTGAACTGGTCTTTCCAGACGTCATCCTTAGTGAAGCATGCAAACCAGCATCTGCATTTCCTGCATTGGATGAGGAGAGCACATCTTTCTCTTTCTGTCCTGGCCACTTTTTACAGAGGCATGACTGAAAGCATTTTAACAAACTGCATCACTGTTTGGTTTGGTAGCAGCAGTACCTCAGATAGGAAGTCCATACAGAGAGTAGTGAGGACAGCTGAGAAGATTATAGGAAGCTCACTTCCCTTTATTCAGGATACTGCTTATAACCGCTATGTGCTTTGAGCTCAAAGCATCGTTAGAGACCCCACACAGGCACTTTATGGTCTATTTCTGTTGCTCCCCTCCCGAAGGAGGTTTCATGTCTCTAATTAGACATGAACATAGGAAGTATGACTTTGTTGTAGTCTGTAACTTCACTATGATATTGGCCTGCCATATACTTTTCTTACAAGTACTACTAAGATTCCATGTGAAGTGCTATGAATATTCAACTAATATTCACTATTGCCTCAATAAGTTAGGACAACTTAGTATTCGTCCACCCTCAGTGAATACCAAAAGTGTATGTTAAAGTGAGTATATCTTTTAACAGAGAAAATGGATACATTCAGCAATCTAAATGCATCAATCCATTTTCTGACAGCACTGAATGATACACCAAGATACTCTATGTTTGCATGTATAATTTTATCCATATCACATTTGCATTCATGTTAGAAGCACCTAAGCTGCTTCTGGGTTGAAAGGATCAGCTGGTGACATCACCACTGCCCAGGGGATGTCCAATTGGGTACTCCTTTCATGTCTCCATTAATGTGCCTACCAAAATGGTACCTATTTATCTACTTGTGATTACTCACTATCAAACTGTCAGATCAGCAGGAGTTGGAGCAAATGATGAGACCTCACTCTGAGACACAGTAGCACTCAGGTCTCATATGCAAGCATGCTAATCATCAACCCAGCATCCTAACCATATCAGCCATCATGCTCCCTGGGTAATTGGGTGATATATAATCCATATTATATGCTTTATTTCATATTTATTCCCCTTTTTCAAAAGGGATGGTGTTTTGCTATTCCTTATGAAGATTATATAATACAAAATGAAAGAGAACAAAAGAGAAAATATGAAATGCTCAGCATATTTAATGAACACTATTAAAAGCCATTATTTTGATAGTAACATTACTTCTCATTTATTTAACCTTAATATTTGAAAAATCCTATTCTAAAAGTAGGATTACAAATAGTATAAGGCTCTTCCTGATTCATATTTTTTTCCACATCCTGAGAAAAGTAGATATATACACAAATGAAGGGTAAAATTGTCAGGTTTTTTTCTTTTTTGAAGGCTCTTATTCATTTCACACCAGTTAGTGAAATAAAAAAAAAAAAAAACACTTCAAAATATATTTTCTTTAGTACTAGAGATTACAGAAAAGATTTGCTAAAATAGCTCATGTTATACCTTAATTTTGATGTTTTATGTGAGCTAAATTATCAAAAATCTAAATATTGAAGAAATCCATTTCACATACTGGTTTGGAAAGTGTGAATTTATTTCAGAATGTGAAATAAAATCCTGTTCCCTTCCTAATATGGGCAGATAGGTATATGAAAACTTCAATCAGCAGCTTGTATATCAGAAAATTTTGACATCAAATCCATAGGCAAAAAAAAAAAATTAAAAAAAATAGTCATTTCTTGTAGACATATAGTATATCCCACAAAATTGCAAATTATAATGACAGTTTTCATATTACATATCTTTGTGTTTGCTATGTGTCATTTTTTATTTTCCCTGCATTTCTTATCTTTAAAATTACATTTTCTCCCCTGTTGCTGTTAAAGAAAGGTGAAAAATTGGTAAATCATTGTTTAAAAAGATGTCACAGGATTCCTGATTAATATATGAATTTTCAAGAATGATATTATAAGATAACATATAAAACATTTCAAAAGTTTAAAAGTGAAATTATCTTTTAATTTAATTCAAGCATAGTTTAACTAGCAATTTTCTGTACGTTCAGAAAAACAAAGACAAACAAAAGCAAACAATGCATAAATAAATATGTTTGTGGGCAAGGAGCTTACAACAATAGTTAGTTATGCATCCTTATGTATTAAGTCAGAGATATAGAGAGAATTGTTAACTCCTTAACTGTCTTTGGGGAATAATCTCATTTTATATCTTCCCTTTGCATCACTGCATGACCTAATTATACTTAACTACAATTCTTGTAATGTTTTAGGGCTACAGACATGGAGATTCCAGCACACTGAAATACATGTTTCCTCATTTTTTTAAAGGTTATCCTAAGTGTTCTAGCACTGATGACATTTTTAAACTCATCCTTTACACTATTCCTTTCATATATGTGGGACTACAATTCACATTCTCCTCTGTCAGCAGTATTTTCCAGTACAGCAACAGCATTGTCCTGCACTTTTCCAAACTAACATCTATTTCTAAGGCCACCGTGTAAGTGGGTGTAAATGTGTTTTGATAATTTAAGAATGCCTTTTTCATCAAAAATGAAATTATACTTAAACAATGGTAGTGAGGTTTTTTTTCCTATTAGCAACCTCTTCTATCCAGATCACTTCCAAGAGACTGAAAGAAAGCATAGGATACACAATGTTAGGCTTCTTTTCAGTGGTGGATTGTCCCTGGTTCGGACCAGTTCTATAGAAAACCGGTAGTAAAACCAGTGGGAGGCTCCACCCACTGACCTGACATCATCAGAATGCTTCTGCGCATGCACAGAAGAGCGTGCACGGCCCCGTTGCGAACCAGTAGCAAAGGTAGGTAGAACCCACCCCTGCTTCTTTTCATTAGGTTTCTGATACTATACTTAGAAGATAGGTCTGTGTGGAAGTGTGTACCCATTTCCAAGTTTCCCCCAATGAGGCACAAAAGAGATTTAAAAAATTGACAAGTGCACATGTAGTAGAAGTAGACATTCTCTCTAGCCCATGCTTTCATTTGTCAGGAAATAGGATTATATCTGGTGTTATTTTGAATCTGATTTTTTAAAATTGCCTTGAGCAATGCTATGTATCTATATTCTATTTGATATTCAGAGAGTATCTATATTACATTACTATAGCAATAGCACTAGCACTTAGACTTATATACTTCACAGTGCTTTACAGCCCTCTCTAAGCGGTTTACAGAGTCAGCATATTGTCCCCAACAATCTGGGTCCTCATTTTACCCACCTCGGAAGGATGGAAGGTGAGTAAACCTTGAGCCTGGTGAGATTTGATCTGCCAAACTGCTGGCAGCCAGTGATCAACAGAAGTCTGCAGTACTGCACTCTAACCACTGCGCCACCGAGGCTCATACTATTGTAAGCACAATACTATAAGTCAGACTGATACATCTCACAGGTCATCATCCATGTCTTATCCAGCACTGAACATTGGTTCTTGCCTGCCTATTGCCTTCCTTTACAAGTCCTCGACTTACAACAGCTCATTTAATGACTGTTCAAAGTTATAACAGTACTGAAAAATGTGACTTACGACCATTTTTCATAGTTACGATCTTTGCAGCATCCACATGAACATGTGATTTACATTTGAATACTTCACAACTGGTTCATATTTATAACTATTGCTGTGTCTCGGGGTCATGTGATCACCTTTTACAACTTTAGGACAAGCAAAGTCAATGGGGAAGCCACAGTCACTTAACAACTGGGTTACTAACTTATCAACCGCAGTGATTCACTTAACAATTGAAGCAAATAAAGATAATAAAATGGGGCAAAACTCACTTAACAAATGTCTCACTTAACAACAGACATTTTGGGCTCAATTGTGGTCGTAAATCGAGGACTACCTGTACATGAGGAGTTATGGGATTATCACATTTCAAGCAAATAGCAACATCAGTAGTCAACTTCAGTAATGTACAACATCACTGTGATGTCACAATAACTATGCCATACACTTCAGGTAGGGAGCATCAATACAGAGCCAGGATTTTTCATTGAAACATATAGGCAGAATCAACAAGAGGTTTCCATTTCACCCCGCAAAAGCAGGGGTGAAATCTACTTACCTTCCTTACCGGTTCGGAAGTGCACGTGCCCCGCGTGTGCACTAGTGCATCACATGCACGTGCAAACCCTCTGCGCATGCGCAAAACCTTCTACACATGTGCAGATGGTAAAAAACACAAGGAAGAAAAAAACAGGAAGTAACGACACCGGGCGGGTGGGCGGAGCCTCGCACCGCCATTGCTACCAGTTCTCTGAACCACCTGCCACAATTGCTACCAGATTGCTCGATCCGGTCCGAACCAGGAGGATTTCACCCCTGAGCAAAAGGTAATGCTAATCTCTTTTTTCAGATGTAGCAAATTCATAGTCAGCTTTCTTTCACAGGATTTCAAAGGGTGAAATTTAAATATATTTCCTTCATCATGAATAGTTTTAAAACTTTAAGCAAATATTGCCTTCAAGATTTTTTTTTCAGCTGTATCTTTTGCCAATAAAGTACCATCCAAAAATGAGAGAGATTCCCCTTTTCCCATCTCATTAACGAATGCATACGTCATCTGCCATTTCTCAAGTGATACTCTTTAGTAAGTACATCTTGATTCTAAATGTTATAGAAGGTTAATTTCTATATTATCAGTGATGAGATTTTTCTCTCAGAAACCAAGATGCTAAGCACACTTGGAGATTAATAAACTTGGGAGAAGGGGGAAAAAAACAAACTAACCAATATTTTCTGTGGAAGCAGAATTAAATTAAAAGATTATGTGCAATCATTGTGATATTTTTCTGCATTTTTTTCTGAAGCAAGCATGCCTATAATGTTTAACTAATTTTAAAAAATACCATCAAGAAACTTTAAGAAGGGAAGCATACAAATCAGTTTATTCTTCAAAAAAAAAGAAAGAAACCTTCAAATATCATTTCTGACCATAAAAACAATCAAGAAAATGGAGCCAAGTAGCTAAAATAGATAGTTTTAGATGTAGCACTCTTTCATACAAGAAAAGTTTCACAAACGAGATAACTTTTTTAAAAAAATCTTGACTAAAAACATTTTTCTGTTCACTGTAGGAGATATCATGGAGATGAAGTTCTATTCAGAGATGCAAAAGTTCTTGTGAAAAGCTTGTCTTTATAATGAGACTTTTAAAGTAGGGGTCCCCATCCCTACTATTGATGAAAAGAAGGACTAGGGGTGACATGATAGCAGTGTTCTTGGCTAGTCTGGAAACTAGGGTTGACAGGATAGCAGTATTTCAGTGGCTGCCACAAAGAAGAGGGAGTCAAGTTATTCTCCAAAGCACTTGAGGGCACGACAAGAAGCAATCGGTGAAAACTAATCAAGGAGAAAAGCAACCTAGAACTAAGAAGAAATTTCCTGACAGTTAGAACAATTAATCAGTGGAACAACTTGCCTCCAGAAGTTCTGAATGCTCCAATACTGGAAGTCTTTAAGAAGAGATTGGATAACCATTTGTCTGAAATGGTATAGGGTTTTCTGCCTAAGCAGGGGGTTGGACTAGAAGACCTCTAAGGTCTCTTCCAACTCTGCTATTCTATTGTATTCTAACCTCCAGTCCATGGACTGGCACTAGTCCACAGCATGCCAGCAACTGGTGTGCGCAAATAAGTGGTCTCATCCACAGAACTGAGGCAGCACACAAAACCACACTCCTTCTTGTACACGGAAAAACCTTTCTCCACGAAACTGGCACACCTGCTTCCCATAGGCATGTGGAAATTAATACAAAATTACAAGATAAACAGCAAAACAATGTTAACAATATGTGTAAAAGGATTAGGGTTTTAAAGTATTTCAGTAGAAAATAAATGCTATGTTTGTCCCAAATAGAGTAGGCAAACCCAAATGATCTTCACCAAATTGACACAAATATCTGAGAAGGTTGAATATATAATACTTGTGATGCATTTTTTTGAAATGCTTTTTATGGATATTTATACAAAGCATAGATTAGGAAAATTTCAAAATGATAACAACTGTGCACTTTTCCAGCTATTTTTCTTAAAAATAGAGGCACAACTTTGATGATTGGAGTTATAGCTGTGACTCTGACAGAGACCTATTATTCTTTCATTTCATTTCATTTCATTTCATTTCATTTCATTTCATTTCATTTATTGGATTTGTATACCGCCCTACTCCCGAAGGACTCAGGGCGGTGAACAGCCACAGAATAAAACACACAAATACAAAATTTAAAAACAGAATAAAACCAAATTAAACAATTTGGCCGAGACAAATTAAAAACACCCAATTTAAAAACAAATTAAAATTTACATTTTAAAGATGAAAGATTTAGGCCAGGCCGGCTTGATGGAATAAAAAAGTCTTGAGAGCGCGACGGAAGGTGCGCAGATCCGGGATCCTCCGTATGTCCGGGGAGAGCTCATTCCAGATAGTAGGTGCCCCCACAGAGAAAGCTCTCCCCCTGGGGGCCACCAGTCGACATTGTTTGGCCGACAGCACCTGGAGGAGCCCCTCTCTATGAGAGCGTACCGACCAGTGGAAGGCTATTGGTGGTAGCAGGCGGTCTCATAAATAACCAGGTCCTAAGCCATGGAGCGCTCTAAAGTTGATAACCAAATTCCACTTTTTTCCACCTTGAAGTGCACCCAGAAGACCACTGGGAGCCAGTGGTAGCTGGCTGGTGGTAGCAGGCGGTCTCGTAAATAACCAGGTCCTAAGCCATTGAGCGCTCTAAAGGTGATAACCAAATTCCACTTTTTTCCACCTTGAAGCGCACCCAGAAGACCACCGGGATTCAGTGCAGCTCACGCAGGAGAGGTGTTACATGGGAACGCCACGTCGCTCCCATAACCACCCACACAGCCACACTCTGCGCCAGTTGGAGCCTCCGAGTGCTCCTCAAGGGGAGCCCCATGTAGAGAGCGTTGCAATAGTCCAGGCGGGAGGTGACAAGGGCATGAGTAACTGTGCGTAAGGAGTCCCGATCTAGAAAGGGACGCAACTGGCGAATCAGGCAGTCGATACCTGGTCGATGGTATCAAAAGCCACTGAGAGATCTAATAGGACCAGGACAGAGGAGCAACCCCTCTCCTGAGCCCTCCAGAGATCATCAACCAATGCGACCAATGCCGTTTCCGTGTTGTACCCAGGCCTGAAGCCCGACTGGAACGGATCCAGATACATCGTTTCATCCAGGTGCTGGGGGAGCTGTCACGCAACCACACTCTCAACAACCTTCGCCATAAAGCAAAGGTTGGAGACCGGACGATAATTAGCCAATACAGCCGGATCCAGGGAAGGCTTCTTGAGGAGAGGCCTCACCACTGCCTCTTTCAGGGTGGCGGGGAAGACACCCTCACCCAATGAAGCATTTATAATCCCCTGGAGCCAACCTCGCGTCACCTCCCAGGAAGCCAGCACTAACCAGGAGGGACACGGGTCCAACAAACATGTGGTCGTGTTCAGTCTACCCAGAATCCTGTCCATGTCATCAGGAGTCACAGGATCATACTCATCCCAGATAACATTCTCAAGACCTGCCTCCATCATCCCCCCTGGATCTACCCAGTCGGAGTCCAGATCTTCCCAAATCTGAATGATTTCATAATCCAAATCTTAAAGTAATTCATATGTAATATATGCTCCCCCCTCCAGCCTGATTTTTAGCAGTCTAAAAATGTAGAGATGCAAGGAAAGCCATATACAGTATGAGCTAAAGGGACTAAAATCTTTTAAATGACAAATTCTGGAGGCAGAGAGAAAAAAAAAGTGGAATTTTAAAAAACATACATTCGATCCCAATGTAAGTTTTCTAATACACAAGTTTTATTTTACACAACATGTCCAATTACAATTCAGGATTCCAAAATCCATGGGGTAGTCTCAAGACATCCTTAAATCAAGTTAACTGCCTTTGTTCATCTTTATTCCTTGGCACCCTTGACTATCCATCTTGCAGTGATTTTCATTATCTCTTTGACAATAAGCTTTTTGGACCAAGTCACTCTTTAATGGTTTTGTTTACAAAATTCTGTAGTGCTATGGGCATGCATAGGTTTACATTAAGAACAACAAAATTAATATAACGTAAACAGTGTGCGCTTGGTGGAATGTAGTATTTTGATAGATTGTATTATTGCAGTGAAAGACTGAGGCAGTTTGAGATAATATTTAAAAGTGCTCATATTGCAAGTAATCCTTTACAATATAATATTCTGCAGTTTTTGAACATGCACAATACATGCATAGAAGATACTTCTGCCAACCAAACTGGTTGTCCCCCTCTGATGATTAGAAGTAGCTAAACAGAGGCATTCTGAGTGATTGTTTTTCTCAAATTTCCATTAAAATGATGAATTTGTAACTCTGGTTGTATTATTTCCCCATACAAGAATAGAATTTTAAGAACAATCTCTTCTTTTTAAAAGTATAAAATTTGTCCAGAAAATCTAGAAGAAATGTCAATGAATGGACTTCCCAGAGGGACCATTTATTTTCTTGAACTTGAATTTTTTTCAAAGCATTTCTGGAATTCTGGTAATTGTGGTTATATCCAATTACATTCCAAGCAATTGCAACAAAAATATTTAGAGAAATACAAAACTCATATTTAGCTAAATGTTTGTGGAGATTCTGAATCATCCCGGTCATGGTTGTCCCAAAGGCGCTTTTTCAAGAGGCAACTGGATTTCTGGTTTTTCTGTGAAGACGTTTCACTTCTCATCCAAAAGTCTTCAGCTCATCCAAGAGCTAATAAGCTAATAAGCAACTGAATAATGTACAATTGGAAACAATTGAAGATCCATAGTTTCCATAGGTAAGGTGCAATTGCCTGAAGTAAGAGGATTTCATACATAGAGCTGTTTTTATGAATTTTTCCATACATTAACATCCCTTCTTATCAGGATACCTCATGTTTAGCTTGAAGAAAGGATACATGTTCAAGAATAGCATCCAAAAATATTTTTAAACTTAGTAAAGAATAACAACTCCTGTTCATATCTCCTTTCAATTGTTCAACTCTACATGGAGAGCCACAAGCCTTAAATGACAATGACCTGATCATCATAATACACGCTTTAGTAACTGGGAAAGCTGGGTTATAGTCATGAGTTCTCCATTATGAAGACTTATCAAGAAAAGTCAGTATATTTATATTACAACCACCATTCTTTCTCACAAAAATTAAACTATAATCATCACTAATTTATGTGTACATTGTGTTACTAACATTACTTCTTAAAGTTAGGCCTTCAGACCACCAGCACTCTCTCATAGGAGCCATTCCACTGCTCCTAACTGCTAACTAACTGCTCCTCAAAGATTCCATGCTCAACGTTCTTTAAAGGCATGGCCTCACACCTGGCCAGAGCTGAAACTGCTTAACTTCATGTTTTCTGATATGATGCTAAAGGGTATGATCTATCATCTTCCAACACAATTCTTGCTATAGATTCAGGCATAAACTCAGGTAATTCAGCAGTGGCTGTAATGATGTAATCATAGACTGGAATCAACTCAGGCATTCCTCTATCATACCATTTGGTTTGTTTTGCTAGAGTGCCATGATACTGAGAGAAGAGGAGGAGAAGCAAATGTACTGGAGGGTATGGTAGACCTCTCTTTAAAAAGAGACCTTTAAAGCAGTTGAAGGAAGCAGCTGTAACAAGACCTCTGCGAAGATCAAGTGCCACCTGAAAATTGGCACAGGATATTTATTTTGCTTTGCTACTGTTAAACTAGCAATTAAACTAGCAACAGTAGTTGCTGCTGGAGGAAGAGTGCCAATTCTCTGATTTTCAGCTTCCCGTTGCTCAAGAACTGAAATGGCTATATACCCAGTTGATCATGGGGAAAAGATAGTCCTCAACTTACGACCACAATTGAGCCCAACATTTCCTTTCCTTAGCCAGAAGTTGTTAAATGAGTTTTGCCCCATTTCATTTTGCCCACCTTTCTTGCCACTGTTGTTAAGTGACTCTTCGCTGTTGTTAAGTTAGTAACACAATTGTTAAGTGAATCTGGCTTCACTTGACTTTGCTTCTTGGAAGGGCACAAAAGGTGATCCTGGGACATTACAACCATCCTAAATACATGCCAGTTGCCAAGCATCCAAATTTTGATCACATGAACCTGAGCAATGATCATAATTGTGAAAAAAGATCATAAATCACTTTTTTCATTGCCATAACTTCAAATGGTCACTAAACAAATGATCGTAAGTCGAGGACTGCCTGAATATTGTACTCTTGTTATGATAAATATATTGGTACCATGTTTGTTTTTGAAAATAATTCAAAGTGGTGGTATTAAGTATTAATGGTTTAATACCACAATCATGAATTATTTAATATTATCATATTATTTTAATCTGAAACTTAAATAATGGAGGTATGAGATGAGCTCTTTGGGAGGCCTTTGTTAAGCGATCTTTGTTAAGAGATCACCTGGTTAAGCACTTGTTTCTGGGAAGGAAAGACATCTTCTACTAAAAATAGACAATGAAGTTCCTGTGATCATCTGAATAAAAGCATACAATTAATGCTCCATGATTTTATATTAATCTATTTCTTTTTACTGAATTTGTCTTTGTTTAGAAGTATTGCTATAATTTTGTTAGATTATGGTGATGTTAACTTTTATCATTTTCGGAAGAGTTTTCAAAATATTATCGTTTGTCTGTTAGATCATGGAAACAATTTCCCCTTAATATATTCAGTTGCTACTTAGCCCTGCAAATAGATACATAGTGAGCAGCTGAAAAGTGCAGGCTGCTGTTTCAGTCTCATTTTTAGAAATAAAGTGTCATCACTCAAAGGAGAACATTGTTTTTAATGATTGCTATACTTGGTGGCAAATTTTTAGCAATAAAATTTTCTTTATTATATGGATATATTAATGCATTGAGTTTCCATGATACATATATCCATGTTGTTCATCTTTCTGATCTTGAATTTTCTTGACTCATTCAGCAGAGTTTCCAAATCATTAGCATACCTTCAAATTGTTCTTTGTCAGTGTTCTTCTAAAATGTACTGTGGCATGGGGTATTCATAAGGACTACTGGAAAAAAAATCTGCAGACTCTTTGAGACATGACGTTACACACCATTACAGTAATTAAATAGACTAGAATAGAGGAAGATACGTGGCTGATATAGAGGTGCACAAATTAACCAGCCTGAGACTTTACTACTGGGTGCATCTATTGGATTGCAGGTGGTGAGAGACCCATTAGATAAAACAGCTGCTAGATAAGCTTTGCCAAGTAAGCAGCTGTGGATATTTAGCAGCAACACTAACTGGATGTAGTAACAGTAACATCTGGGAAATGTTACTGATTTGACAGAAGTACTACATATATCCAGGGATAGTACTGGGCAAGTAACACTGCTGGAAATATGCCTACCACTGATAGAAGTCAGCTGTTCTACTAGTAACAAGTGACAACATATAACCTGGAACAGTTGGAGGGGCATATAGAGTGGCAGGGATAAGATTAATTCATGCAGCAATATTAATAGTGGTGGGAATGCAATAACAAACCAGTGTAATATGTTTCCCCAAGAGAATTATTGATAGCTGAAAACATCAAAAGGACAAACAGAACAGATGATTTCTAATTTCTGGTAGAGGATGTGAAAGAAGAAAACTGGGCAGGGGAGAGAGAAATTCCTGACTGAAACAAGCACAAATATATTTATATATGGATTATTAATTAATAAAATTTGTGTAGCCATCCATCTCACAAAAAACAGCTCTGGGAAGCATAAGAATAAAACAACAGAAAATATGTTACATATTTTACACATAAAATAGTTTCAAAAATATTTTAAAAACCACATTAAGAGAAAAATATTATAAAAACAAATTAGCAAACTCTAGGCAAAGAGCTGATAAGAATGGCCACTTTGACACTGTAGTCATTTAAACAAGCCTCGGGTTCCCTGGGAACCCTCAAATAACAGGTCTTAAAAGACTTTTGGTACATCATAAGGGATGGAGCTAGAAGAGAATATTTGCAGCTCAGGGTTGAAATGTAAGGTCCTTTCATTACCAACATCATCAGTTGGTAATGAAAAAACCTAGTTTGATAATGAAAGGAATGCAAGAAAAGTGTTCCATAAAGTGGGCACTATAGCAGAGAAGACATGTCTCTTGGGATCTGCCATATATATGTGTGTCTCTGTGCATATGTATATGTATGTGTGTGTGTGTGTGTGTGTGTGTGTGTGTATATATATATGTTTTCTCAGGTTTTCGCGGGTGTTTGTATGTAGGTCTTTGGTTATTCGGGTTATTCCTTTTAGTGGGGGTGTGAGCTGATTGGGTGGGGACTTGGCTGTGTTCTGATTGGGTGGAGGTGTGTTCTGATTGGTTAGGGGCTCACACCCCCACTAGCAGTTAAAAGGAAGAGACAGCTGAGATCTCACATTGCTCCTGGAAGCACGAAGCCGAGAACACCAGCCTGAAGATGACGAATGAGACTTCGTCGAAACGTCACCAAGACACTTCCAATTTTACGTAGAAAAAGACCCGAATAACCAAATACATACATATATATATATATATATATATATATATATATATATATATATATATACACACCACACTTACACACACACACATCCATCCATCCATTTGGAAATAAGGTGGGATAAATAAATAAATATGCTTTATTGTCATTGTACATATGTACACAGTATACCCATACAACGAAATTCACATAATACCCAAAGACCAGGCCCAACACACATAACAATCCCCAAACAAACACCTCACCCACCACAAATTCCCCACCCCTGAACCACCCAAACATCCACACAAACCAAGTAATTCTGTCCAACAGCTCACTGATGGGGGCCCTTTAGTTCATTATTGAGTGCAATTATAGCTCTGGGATAAAAACTATTCAGAAAATGTGTGGTCCGAGTTTTAATTGTTCTATATCTTCTGCCAGAAGGCAACATATATAAATATGTTTTATAAATTTATATTTTATATATAATTTATATTTTATATATAATGTATATTTAGATATAATTTAGATATACATTTTAACAACAATATCCACTAGTTTTACTTTAGCATTCAAATATTGTGTATTTTTACACAGCATCTCTCTCTCTCCCTCCCTCCCTCTGTGTGTTTGTGTGTGTGCATGTGTTGATATCTTGCCCTAAATACCCTGATATATACATGCTTTGTCCCCAAGCTTTTGACATTGATCTGACATGAAAATCTGAAGTGCAATTTTGAGTGCACTTGGCAGAAGGCACTTTGTATTTTTGCTAGGGACCCTGCATTATTAAGAACTCTGACTGAAGATATATATGACCTCCTTCAGATCTACCCTCTAAAGAGGGGAAGGTAGGAGGTTAGGGTTGATTAAAATGGCCCACTTTATTCCTTTATATTATTCACTGATATCTGGTTAGATGCTTTTTATATTGTACCCTACAGTTTTCTGATAACAAAACCATTTTTGCAGCGTAAAGAGTGTGTTTATGAAAATGTACATATGCATACAACAATAGAAAAAAAGAAATCTTGCAGAGGAAGCTCAGAATATGGCAATAATGGAGCCTACTATGTACTCAAATAGACCACTTTTCCCTAAATAGAATTCCTTAGAATAATTCTACTTCAGCATGTGCTACATTGTAGAATGATAATATTCCAATACCCAATAATGTATGAAGGAACTACAGTATACAAAAATGATGTCCTATTTTTAGGATTAAAAAAATGACAAGGAGCCAGGGTAACTGGCTGAAAATCAGGGAGGTGTCATGTTGATCACCTAGTAGAACTGAGCAGAGAATGTGATCTAGTGAGCAGCATTTCACATTTAATTTCAAAATGGATTGAGGTGATTGGTAGGATACCTGTGTCTACACCATTATAGAGTAGATGCCAGGGACTGCAGCTGAAATTCAACCATGGATTGGGTTGACTCCAAACTATGAAGCTAAGGTGAATTGGCTTGAGAGATAAATTGGTAATTCCCTTGAGTTCTACTCAAACTACAAGTTTATCCTCAATACCCTTGACTCATAGTACATATTGAGCTATGCATAGGGCAACACTCCCCTATTTTTATGCATTAACCTTTTAGCTGACACATTCTTATCCTTTTGGTATGTATTCCTTGTGATTTATTGACTCTCTATCATCTCTATTTTCTTTTCAGAGAAAATAAAATTCAAAAACATTTAGCAAGAAGGTCTATACTTCAGCTTCACCTCAAGTGTTCATTTGTCTCTTTCCAGAAGTAAATGCTAAAGAATTGATTGATTCTGATTTAGTCAAATATTGCATCTGGATATCTTCAAAGTGCAATTATGCTTCACTTATCCAAGCAGTTCCTTTTTGGGTTGTAACCGGCAATTACATTTTCTTCATTTATTATAAGAAATAAAAATGGAATGATCAGCTTTCTAGCATCTGCTTGGGAAGACCCAGCAGGCTTCACCTTTTAAAGAATGAATGAATAGAGCACATAGAAGACAAACCTATAGCCACTTGGAATCCATGTATGAATAGAAATGGTCACCTACAGCTTCAAGTTATTCTAGCTGTCATTGCAGTCTCTCTTGCAAATTAGCCTGAGAACAAGCTGTGCATGTAGAAGGTCAGATGCAGTTCCAGCATTTCCGCAAGAATCTTTCTTTTCCACTGTTTTCTTTTTCCAGCCTTGAAAAAGAGGGGATGGAGCAAAGAAATTGTTTTTTGTCTTTCTTCTGCATGAACTGCAAGGAGTTTCCTTGCTGCTTCTCAACCAAGGACTAAGAAGGCTTTTCTGAAAATTGTTATTGTTGAAATTGTTAGAATCAGGCTTATAGTTCCATCCATGAATGTAACATTACGAATATGTTTCTTAACATGTTCTCTGCTGTACATTTTATAAAACATCCTTAGGAATGGAAGTTTTTATTAATGTATCAAGCTGTGCCTACTAACTCATTACACAGTTGCCTTGAGAGGAGGCAGCTAATTCAGAGCATTTTCTTATCTCTCTTCTTCCCATGGTAAAATCCTGGGACTGCTTGTTAGAATAAGAATTAGAGCTTTGGGTAAATCATACATCAAAGCTGTGATGTTGTACTTCAAGTAATCTATCTATATTTTTTCACATTTTGTAGTTTTCTTATTCCTTTATCAGTTGTAAAGCAATACTTTTCATATTTGGGATTTCCTGTGTGCTCAAAGTGTCTGAACAACATTCTATGTAATGCCTATGTAACCTACACCTGGCTTTTTCAGGTACACCTGGCTTTTTCAGGTGCACTCATTGTACCCTGCTAGCTTTGAATGAATAGATGATTGATTGGGCCCTCTCCAGTTGGTGGCATTTTTGGTGAATTATTTAGCCATGACAAATTATTTGGCCATCTAATGCTGATGTATTCCCAGGGGAGTCTATATGAGGGTCAAAAAAGGTTAAAATGTGGCTGCAACATCCGACTGAAGTCCTATCATTTTGACATGTACTGTCATCCCCAAAAGTATTGGGGCTTTGATTGTGCAGTTGTGGTTACAATATTGACTTCTTCACCCTGCTGTGGACACCCCTGGGTATTCCAAATTGAATGCAACATAATCTCCTATTAAAGTAAAATTAGTGCCCAGTTGTTAAAATTAATGCAAATGTAATATCCTTGCGTTTGCTTCTCTATTCACAGTATGCAAAAGGTATGGTCATGACCCCCTCATAACTTAGCAGTATCCATTTTATGGCCCTAGAGTGCCTGCCAAGAATTAACTGTTACTAATTTGCCTTCTTTAGCAGCACTGAACTTGTGGAGGCTTAAAGGCTAAGACATTTACCCTAAGCTTTGAAGACGTTTAAGGTACCCTTTTCATCTTTTACAACTCCTGAAGCCCCCTCTTAAAAGAGGTTCTGGCTCCACTCCTTTTTGGAACGCAGCCTTTACATGCCGACAAGAAATTGCATACCCCTGTTTTATATAATGGGGATGGATGGGGAAAAAAGATGTCAGCACATCTATCTGAACATATCTTCAATTTTCTTTGCTGCAAAGTGAAGTTGCCTAAAACACTTAAAGATCAAGCTCATTTTTAATGTAGCAAGTATATCTGGTGCATCTAAATTCTCAGAGTATTAGGAGCCTATGGCTTGTCTTTAAATGATAAGAAATTAGATGATTATTTCTCTGTAAAGCCTGGACTTGGCAGTAAAAGTACTTGTTCTTGAAGATACCTGTTCCAATTGTAGGAAGGTATTTATTGACAGTTTTGGCATTTACTCAGCAAATGAGAGCAATTGTGACCACTACTTAAACATTTATTTATTTATTTATTTATTGGTTCGATTTATATGCCGCCCTTTTCCGGAGACTCAGGGCGGCTTACAATGTGTTAAGCAATAGCCTTCATACTTTTGTATATACCTGCTTAGTAGGGCTTTCGGGGGGCCCCTGAAGCAGTGTTCTTTTTTATACAAAGTCAGCTTATTGCCCCCACAAACCGGGTCCTCATTTTACCTACCTCAAAAGGATGGAAGGCTGAGTCAACCTTGAGCCTGGTGAGATTTGAACTTGCAGTAATTGCAGGCAGCTGGTGTTACTTAACAGTGCTTAAGTCTGCTGCGCCACCAAGGCTCTTATGGGTATATCTTCATGGGTATATCTTCACATTGCTTCAGATATCTTTATTATTATAGTTCAAAAATAGGATTGATAAATGAGAGTCTCAACTGTTTCTTCCCATTCACTCTCTTGGACACAATCATCCTGTTTTTTAAGACAGGATGATAATTTTATGTACATTTGAGAATATAACACTAGTTTAAAATACCTGGTACTAACACACTACTGAACAAAATCACTATCCCTTTTTCTTTGCTGACATAAAATTTAGTAGCCACAAGGGAAAGTATTTATAAATATATAAACACTGAAAATGGTCAAGAGATCACAAGGGTATTTGTAAATGCTTGTATGCTTTAAGTTATTTATCAAAAGTTTGAAATTCATAAAGAATACAGCACATATATTGCATGTTTTTACATAAAAAGGAATATTACATGGCTAAAAAATTTCCCAATATCTAGCAATTATATAGTGCTCTTACTCTTTGGATAGAGATCAGCTGAGAATTGCAAGGAAGATGAATTTTTGGTAGGATAAAAACCAATTTAGAAGAAGCTAATGGCAAATCCAACAGTGTCTATCAAAAAAAAATAAATCAAGATAGTATTGTGATTGTGCAGTTGAAGTTCCACTACTTGGTATTCACATGATTCACTATGAAAGAGGCAGGGCTTTGATGTGCAATCACAGTCACCACTTTCATAACATGGTGAGAACATTGCAATAAAGCAGTCAACAAGTTCAACTGGAAGGTATATTTATTTTTACTGAAGAGTTCATCTCACTACAAGTCAACAGTTGATTCTACAGAATTGCTTAGATATTTTGATTACATATATATATCTTAATTATAGTTTAATTTCTCTTAGCTTCCTATTGTAAACAAACTAATAAACATTCATAATTGCAAAAGATTAAATTAATAGTTTTGTTTAATAAACAGAAAATATGGATTTTTCATATGGGTTAACTTTTTTCCCCTTCAATATGTTCTCTTCAGTCTTTTATTTTGGTCATGGACAAGCAAGATTCAATTTCAATGCATTAAAGCCATCCCATTATACTAATAGTTTAACCTATACACTAGAACAATAACAAGGTACCTATACATACATACATAGATACATACATACATACATACATATTACATACAGAGCCAGTATGGTATAGTGATTAAGACATCAGGCTAGAAACTGGCAAACTGAGTTCTAGTCCTGCCTTAGGTGAAGCTAGTTGGGTGACCTTGGACCAATTTAAGAACATACCCAGTGGCCTAGAGGTGGAGCTCTTGCCTCACAATCAGGAGGTTGTGAGTTCGATCCTAGATAGAGGAAGATGTAGGGTCTCCTGCTTGGGCAGGGGGTTGGGCTAGATGACCTGCAAGACCCCTTCCAACTTTTGTTAATCTGTTAAAAACATTTATTCTCTTTCAGTCATAGGAAGCAGGCAAGAATAAACCACTTCTGAAAACGCTTCCAAGAAAATTGCATGGACTTGTCCAGGCAATTACCAGGAGTCAACAATGCAAAATCTATCAGGAATACAAAACTAAATACAGTGCAAAAATGATTAAATATGCATGTTCAGTTAGGAAGCATTTATGAGATAATGCAAATATTTTAGAAAAGTCGGCAGCTAAATAGTCAACTGCAGAACTGAAATTATTCTGTATTAGTCTTGTGACAATAAAATGTTGACAACTTTAGGAAATACCCACAAGTTTCTTTAAAAATTCTTAATCCTAAATTCCTATAGATCCAATTCAATGAAATATTACTTTATTAGGCATATATTCCCTATTGAAAAGTTAATTGATGGAAAGGAGAGGTAAATTCATTGAGCCTTTTCTAGGAACAATAGCAACACAAAAACAGTGATTGGATGGAAAAGGCAACTAATTGTATGTCCATGTTGACTGAAAAGTGCATTAAAAAATAACTCTGGAAAACTAAAGAATTCTGATCTCTGTGCAGGGGTTGGTCCCTTTGTGTGGGCACAAAATGCAAATGGGGAGATAGTATCAGTGGTATTTTATGACAATCATCATCAAGTGTAGAATGAGTATTTTAATATCTTCAGTTCAGTGCCTCACATCATTCAGCGGGATAGAACATAGGGCTTTAACAGTCCCTTAAACCTTTAGCCACATTACCAGTTAAGGTTGCTAAGCAACAACAAAATAGTTATTGTCACAGTTCTGCCAAAAACAAAAAATAATCTGCAGTGAAAATAAAGAAATGAAAACTGATATAATCTCCCTTTATCTTTTAAAAGTAAGTTTATCATCTTACACATTCATATAAAAGCATATAGGCAGACTGCAACATCTCAATCGCTGACATTGTTGTGTGTGTCCAGGCTGACACAAAAAAGACAGAATTGATTTTTGTTTATACATGTTATTTTAATTCAACCTTAGAATATTTTGGGCTAATCAGCATGATACTACTGAAATGTAAAATACACCAAAAAAAAAAAAAAAAAAACCCAACCCCTGAATTATTTTATTTGTTGCAGGTCAGTACAGGTAGTCCTCAACTTAGAACTGTTCAAAGTTATAATGGCACTGAAAAAAATTGATTTAAGATTGATCCTCACACTTATGACCACCACAGTAACCCATGTGATCAGAATTTGGGCACTTGGCAACCAGGATGTATTTAAAAGAGTTGCAGCACCCCAAGGTCATGTGATTTCCATTTGTCTCCTTTCTAGCCAGTTTCCAATAAGCAAAGTCAATGGAGCTGGATTCTCTTAATGACCACATAATCCACAACTGCAGGGATTCGCTTAACAACCATGGTAAAGTGGTCATAAAATCAGGTGCAACTCTCTTAACAACTGCCACGTTTAGCAACAGAAATTCTGATCCCAACTGTGGTTGAGGACTGCTTGTACATAAAATTATGGCTATCTCATTAATGAAAGTGATTGATTAATTTAGAATTGGAAAATTTTACAGCCCAAGAGAAAAACTAAGTCCAAGAGTGCATCCTATCATTATTTTTCGAATTACCTTTGATCAAATTTTAGCTAGTTTAAGAAAAGAAAAATAATTATTTTTTTAAAAAATGGGCAGATTTCAAATCAGTTACCTTGCAATAAGTTGTATTTCAACAATAATTGCTGAAGTGAATACCTTGCAAGCTATTGCCAAAGTGTCTTCAAAGGACCTTCTTAAACTGACACAACTTAGGTACAACTGCAGTGGCATGATACAGATATAAGTGGACAAGGAAGTTCTGTGTGCACAATGCCCAAACTGAATAGAAAGAAAGTGGTCCTCCATCTCAGAGAGTATAGCAGAAGCAGTCATGCAACACCTAGAAAGTATTGCTCCTCCCAAAATTTTATCTATCTATCTATCTATCTATCTATCTATCTATC